CCTTGCCCCATACTCTTCTTCACCACCCTCAGCAGTCTGCCGGTGAGACTCTTCCTGTGCTTTTGAAGCAGCAGGCTGGACCGCCCGGGTCAGAAGGACAGCAACAACAGTCACAATTGCCCATCTCTACTTCCTTGCAGGCCTCGCGATCAGATACCGGCAAGCTAAAGACTTGTCCAACCTCGTCTAAAAAACAAGTGCCTAGTGTAGTGGCTGCTGGAAGTGAAGATGCCTCTTCAAAGCACTCAAGTGCCACTTCTAGTTCTGGTTGTAAAAGACAGGATTGTGTAAACCACGTGGCTCGTGCCATCCTCTTGGGTGAGGAGTTAGCAACTTGCCAGACTCATGCCCACATTGGCAGAGCTTCACCAGGCGACCAAGGAGTGGTGGCTGAAATGGCCCTAGCCGACTGGCGTCGCCGGCTTGACGCCTTACGCCGGCTGGCCTCTATTCTTGAGAAGACTTCGGTTGACGAAACGATCCTCCTTCCAGGTGACCTGCCTAAGGTTCGTTAGTGCGTTTCTGACTATTTTCGCTTAATAAATGTAGGCGGGACACAATAAATCAAAAAAGGTTAGAGCAAACTAAAGCAGATAATTTGGGACTGGACAGTCTTCAGTAGAATGCTGGTGCGTCTTTAATTTCGTTTAAAAAGGCGGATGGAAGGAGTCCGTAGACTGACCTTGCTGAACACCGAGGGCAGACTGCCCTGTGCTTGTGACTGGTGGATTTTGCAAATGACACCTCGGCTCATCGTCTTGTGACACTCTGAAACACACGCGCATATATATTTAGATATGTATAGTTAATCCATAAATATTTCATCCTTACTTATCAGTCTTTGTGTTAATCTTTTAGCAAAAACGATTATTAAGATGTTTATACTTTTAAAATGATTGTTCCCTTAGCAAAAGCGACATGGAATAGTTACGATGTGATAAAGTTATCATTAAGTTGGCTATCTGAATGCTTCTTAGTATGTGATCAGCTGAAAGGGAAAGACTGAATCAGCAAGAAGTAAACTCCAATCAAGGCCTTTTAAGGGAACTTAATTGCT